TACGTCTTCTCTAATGGGCAACAGGTTACACTGATTTTGTGAAGGCTAATGATCAAAATTTGGCTGATAAGGCCCCTTTAGATGGTACTGGGTTCCAACTCGTAACCAACTGATTGAAAGTCAAGTACCAATACCGGTCAGTCTTAGTCCCATGATGGCCACAATATATAAACTTCGAATAACTAAGGAAACACTGACAGCAAGCCAAAGCCACAGTGATTACGTCTATCTTTTCTGTCGGTATGAGGTTTTAAAAGGTCTTTGAATATACTAGGACCTTAGAGTGGATAGAAACGATGCTGTATTGTAGAAAAAGAGGTGAAATAATCATGAAAGCTTGCTAAAACAAAAGAAACAAGGAATGCGAGTTGCACTGACAACATTTAGACATTTGAATGCTCTTAAAGTGCTTTCTAATTTAATAAAATCACTTCGAATTCGACAAATTGTGATTGTAGTCATCATTTATGAGCCCAAAAGTTATTTGCTTCAATCAGAGGCCTGACTTGCGGAAGGTAATTCCCGTCTAAAATGTGGTAGAGTACGCATGACTGCATACGACAACAACGACACAGTTCACTTTAGTGACAGCTTTGCCATGAGAAGCAACAAAACTTGACAATTCTACACATCAACTGATTTAGCTTCCTTTAACTAAACATATAGGTAGTTTAGTAAGTCCCTATGAAGAGTGCAGTCCAAAAATAGTATGGATGTACATTCTTTTGCTGGTGTGCATTTTTGTTTTTATTGCTGAATGAAATCTCTGGTACCCAAAGTCAAATGTACTCATAGAGTATCGACATGCACCGAAATTCTCCGTCATGAATACAGGATTTTGAGATAAAAATCGATTCTTTTAGGTCTATATAAACTTATCAGCTTTTATATGATCCTGTAATGAATCCCCATTGCAAAGACACTCTTTTTTTATGTCATAACATACAGTGTGTCAGGGTTTTTCGTAAGGGTCTGATGCCCAACATATAGCAAGCGGTCGATCCATTTTAAACTTTATGTTTAACGTTTTAAATAGTGTCGCATGTTTCAAGGCCGTCAGTGTCAGAAATGGGGCTGTAAGGCATAGAAGTTGGCCAAAGACTCAGAGAAAAATCTAAACGAATGAAAACCAATAGAAAAAAATTGAATAATAAACGAAATTCCTGTGCAAAGGAGTTTTGTAGGAAACATAATATGACAAAGTCCTAAAGCTGTTAGCTCTAATTAACATCACTGGAAAATTTACCTGGGAAGGTGAAGTTGAACAAACCCCCTTAATCCTCACTACTTCAGGCAGATGACTCAGCGCCACAACATTCTCAAGATTATACGGTATCTGGCACATTGCCCGCATCTAAATTTATCTGACGTCTCACCATCCACAAGCATATTGATTAGACCTGAACTATGTTCGTAAATCCAGTGTTTTGCAAGTTCAGAAGACACGCAGTCTGGACATTTTTATTACTTATGCCGGACAACAAACTTCAATATATGTATCCACTCTCAGTTTCTGTTAAAATCCTAAACACCTTAAAACACGTGGCTGAAATGCCTATTTCTCCACTAACTTGTGTGTTTCTGTTTATTTTAACATCCATGCATGATATATTTTTCAGTTTATTTTTCATTGGCGTCACAAACGACAACAACCTTAACGGCTGGACTTTTGTGTGAGATGCTACTTTATCGTTTCTTTCCATCTACTGATTTAAACCAATTCACCAACAAGCAGTGGGGCTCTAGTAAGCATCATGGAAAACAAAGGAAACGGAGTCTCAACATCAGCATCAGCCAAATGCCGGGTGAGTTTACAGAGGGAGAATGTGGGCAGCATATTGTCTCAATAGACACCTTATTCCACTATTAACCACTTTTGTTGCAGTCACCATCAGGATGTGGATTCTTGGCTGCCTACAAGTTTTGTTTCTGCTCTAAGAGTTTGAAACTTGAGACAGAATTATTTAGAAATGTTTTGCACTACTGAGTTCAACCTATGTTTGTGAACCATAGGTGTGGCAAAACGAGGGATAGCGGATGCTCTATCCTAAGAATACTTAGTTTTGGCTATGTATAACCATACAATAATCCAGTCATTTTAACACTGCCTGCCCTTTCTATGTCCTTCAGCAATCATGTCATCCCCTACGCTAGATTATTCTGCCAATCTAGTTATCTTTAACGTCTGTCTGAATTTATGCTGGTGCTGAAAAATGCATAATGACACTAAGATGTGTCGTTCATCTGACCCACTCGAGTTTCGGAAACTTTATTGTGGTGGTCTTACATGAATAGACTTGAGCTAATATTGACGTCGAAAGTCAAACAAATTCACTGTAATGCACTCGTCCATGATGATGACCGATGTTTCTCGGTGGATACAGGACTGTGGTTTGCAAACAACTCCTCCTGCTTCAATAACCCAACGTATGAACAGTTTACGACGAACACCGTCTCTGAGTACATGTGCTCAGATCAAGTACCGACAGGCGGTGTGTAGTACACCGTATGCCACCGAATTACTCACAGCAGTGGTACACGTATTTCTCGGGTCTGACTGTCTTTGACTGAGTACATGATACCTCGAAGGTACAAAATGACTTTTTAAGCATTAGTTGTGTCAAAGCGGATGGAAGTTCAGCCTTGCACCAAGCAGCAGTAATTGGTTACCTGTCCAGTGATCTTCCACCATCTCCCTAACTGAATAATCAGTATTCAGTTGTTCCAACATAATTACTCCACCTTCTATAGTTATTTTGTGTAGAAGTGGCTGTTCATTTCCATAAAATAATAATTCGCGTACGCAAGCACATGATCAACAGTACTTTGTGTTTTGATGTCCTCCCAGTTTAGTTTTGATAGCAGTCATCTTTTTAGTCATTGTAGGCTAAATATCAGTCCCGTCAACCAGATTAATGTTTAGTCATCAAGATACCAATTGCGGTAGTTCGGTGCATACATTCACATATACAAGGAATTAGAAAGCACTGAAAGGTGAGTTACATGAATTTTTAGTATTAGCGTAGTTCATTCACTTAGACTACGATATATCTGGATCCTTTTTCGAGTATGAAATGACATATGTATTTGAGTACTGTAACTAAAACCCCAAAATGTGTGAAATGCAAGTTTTCAGCATAGGTCTTTCCGAACTCATCCCTGAACAGCAGTGGTATCACGCTGAATGAGAGTGAACAAAAAGTACAAGAACCCCATTGATGAGTTTAGTTATCGGCAAGTATTTCAAAAAGGCTAGAATTCTCTCCCAAATCAGCAAGATTTGGTTCTCTAATCTTGATGCTCGAGAAGAGAACTACACTTGCAAAATAACTTCTGTGAATTCACCATAAATTCTTTTATTCCATGGTGACTTGTTCAGCAACCTTATGCCGTAATTTGTATTTCTAAGCTGACAGACTTTTGATCGGTGACACTTGAGAAAATGTTTTAAAAAATTGTAGGGAATTGTATTGTATATAGGCGTCTCATACTAGTCACATAACTATTACCCTGAGGTCGAATAAGTCAAAAACGAGCGGCTCACACTAAATTGCGACATAATATTATCTTGTACACTTCGGTAAAACATGCTGAATTTAATACTAACCACTCAACCATGAAATTTAATTGAGAGAAAGGTAGCACTTCTGGTTAACATCCAAAAAATAAGTTCGCCAATATATCCTCTTTCCAGCCCCGACACTCATCACTTTCTGTTTTATGAGTTCATCTTGAACTTCCAATTCTCAAAAGTAGGACAGTAAGGTTTTACACCTTATTTCCTGATCCAGATGTTCAAGTTCAGTCCCTAATCCATATTCTGTGATCAGAAATGAGCATTTATGACAGTGAGTCTCAAGCTGGTGAGACAATACTTACTGCTAGCTTAAAGTTTGAGTACATACCGAATTACAAAGACTGAGATAAAAATGTATGCAGCCAATGAATGATTACAACTTAGCTAGTGAACTGTTCATTTCGACTGGAAATTTAGAGGATGGCGGAATTCTTCGATTTAAATGGTTCACAGCGTAATCATAATGTCAGAAACCTTGAGCTTCCCAGTCAGCTGTAAGCATATTTTGTTGTTCAATATCACCTTTTTCTAAAGAACTGATCACTTGTAAATTTTTGAGAATAAAACTTCGTACAAACTTAAAGTGATAAAAGTATAAGAAAGTACTCATTGAGAGTTGCATTTTAATGTCACTTCAGCGACCGATTTTCCCTTGGTTCGTAACGACAATACGGTTTGTAGTGATTCTGCGAGCTCAAAGTCACGTCAAAACAACATCAAAATCTTAACATGGTGTTCTGAGAAATCAAGATCCCGCTTGTTAAGGCAAATAAATAACTAGATAGGCCTGATTCATCAACGTATTAGCTATCGATCATGGCTTCAACGTTGTTGGTACGACCTATGTTCAAAATTGTAAATGCCGTAAAGTTCTTTCAGTTCAAATGTTTTATTCAACGAGGTGTCTATTTTTATGCTATATCACGCACATGATATGCAATCAGATCTCCAGAACTAATGTGAAAATTCCGAGGGAACACCTAGTAGTGTGGGTGAGTCCCTTGGTTCTTTTATATCCAAAACGGAAACACCCATGTTTAAGACTCCAAAACTTTTGCATTCGACTACAAGTAGTTTCCCAGCCAATCATTTAGTGAGTGTCTCAATCGTTGTTTAGATCCAACATTTACACAATTAGTTTCATTTCCCGGCTGATCATTGGTTCATAATTTGTATGTTAAGAAAGTATTATTGAGGTACCAGGTGTTTAGGCTAGTCATACTCACAGGACTCACAGGACAGCACCACACATTCCCGACCGGGATTTAGATTAATAAGGTTTCCATTAAATCTGGCATGCAAACCTACTTTTGAACAACTATATCCTGATGCATTATGACAAAAGCATGCCTCGATTATCCGGAGTATTAAAGCGAGAATAATGTTATTTGTACATCTTAAATACTAATCAGAATAAACTCACTTATAATGGTGAAAGAAACAATCGTTAGAACCTTAATGATTCCAAAATTCATTCCCCCAAATCAGGCGGGTTCATTTGCTTTGTACTGGGAATTTTCACCATAACTGGGTAAATGTCCTCGTGCTATGCGCAGTAAAATATAATGCTTTCGACAAGCTGCGGCTGTCAAGGTCATTTATTTTGACATTAAAAATTCAAACAAAAAGCTGCAGGTTTCAAATGATCTGGTCCAGTAGTTCAGGTTAACTTACGCGTTCTCACGCCTTTTCCCCATATTTTCGTTCATCTTGCCTAAGTTTGGCAAAGTCTCAAATACAATATCATATGGCGGTTGTGGGGGTGAAGTACAAATTCTGAACTCTCACGTGATGGTTCGGTTCGTTTTATCCGGATGAGACCTTCCGGAGGACTCAGGCATGACTTACACCTTCCTTGGTGTAGCTTCAGATGACCCACCAGTCTGTATGAAAGCTTTGCTGTAATTCGTACTATGATTATCTGTGATTAGCTATTGCCCAAATTGGCATCCTTTCGGTTGGTACAAACTGGAGAATTTCTTCGTGCTCGCTTCTTAACGTTGGGAGCGAGTTCACATCACTTGTCAACTTTGGCGCAGTAGATTCAGACGCCCTTCTAACGTGGCTGTTATGAACCCAGAGGCCGGAGGAAATTCATCACCCATTCTAAAACAGTGGCACCTCTAGGACCCCCGAACACCATTTCGCCGGACACTCCCTCAGACTGCTCGAGGATGGTTAGAAGGGTGTGGGATGCAGCAGAGGAGGTTTTATGAGGGAAGAGAACGATAGGTTTGCCTCCTGTCAAGCAAAGCAGGGAAAATGATGGTATCGATGAGCAAGCAACTAGGTAGGGGACACACCAAAATTACGAAAGGGGATAGATTTGTCGCCTGATAAGAGTAAGCGGCAGAGTCGTACCATCACTAGGAATAAAAATAGGGAGGATTGGTGGGGAAGCACCTGGGTTTTGTCCTTAAGCGAAAGTGACACACCCAAACGCCGGTCATCAATTCTTCGTGGTTGTACAATACCCATGAATACGACACCAGGAAAAGCACAACAGGGTAGCCAGGCGAGAAAGATTGGCCTTACAAGAATGTCAGTGTTCCAAATAACTGGCTAGTGGGTTACGTACGAACGACATAACGTAATGCGACAGCGTGCTGAATGGCATGAGTGCCTGGCTGTGCTATCTCGGTTGAACCAGCACGTTAAGTATGAAGGTTGCCATCACTTCTGAATCTCGCCGGGCCCTAGGTTATTGATCTTGAGGGAGTGTTTACCGCCAAAGACTACGGGAAATTAAATGGACTCCTTTGATGGCAATTCATTCACTCTCTTTGCTCTTCACCTTAGATGAGCTCCACCTTCGTGCCATTGCACAGCTATCTCAGCCTTTGTGAGGCTCCCCACATCAACTAGCCATGCATCGTGAGCGCTTCAGACTTCAGGAAGGAAGCAGTGTGTCTTCATGTGGCTCCTAACCCTTCGATGGCCGATAAGGTTTCAGCTTTCACGTGGATTTCCATGGTAGTCCTCGGGTGATAGGATAGGTGATCCAGGTCTCCTTAGGTCCCGAAAGCCACGATGAAGTCATCCCCTATCCTGAGATAATAACTCATATTTGGGCCTATAAAACAGCCTCCTGACCTCCCCTGTTTCGATCGCAAGGAGTCTGCTCAAGAAATTGGTGCCCGTTTCTAGGTTTGATGATAACTCAATGCTCTGGGTGGGAACCCGACACCAAATATACAACTTTCCGAGTCTAAGGAAGAGCTCAAAGATATCCAGGCATGTCTGTCTACTCCGAGAGGGTGGTACTTCATAGGATCCTATGGAGTTTTCCGGGTACCTTGGGGTTGTACGCCCTTTTCTGGTCAGCAGAAATAGGTCCCAGGTTGCATTGGGTGGAATTGTGGGGAAGGCGGGTACTGCAAACGAAGAAGAGAACCCCTCACGACTCTGAGGGTCGTGCAAACCTCCTCTGACATTTCTGCCCGCCGTCTACGAGCGGCTTCTCGTGTATTCTCAGGCCGCTTTGAACCATATCAAGGTACTTTTCAAAGCTAACGGCCCTTTACAACTTCAGATTTTCAGCATGCACCGTTGAACTTGGTACAGACTCTTCCACTCTTCGAATGGCCACCTAGATGGGGCAGATGTAAGCTACTACTGCTCAACAGGGCGACATTCAAAAGGATTGTTTCACATACAACAATGTCAAAGGTCCTAATGAAGTCCGTGTATATCCTAGTATGTCATTCTGTTGCTGCAGGCCATCAGAAGGTTAGAGTCACAACGCCTACACTTTTAAATCCTGTCGATATTCGCCGAGCGTCGTGTTTCTTTGCAGATGTTCCTGGACAGACTTTTCTGACGGGCTTCAAATCACCTTCGACATCACGGGAACTAGTGCCACAAACTGGTAGCATTCAGGATTATGTTGATTTGTTCCGTTCAGGGTATCAGGGAGGAAAGTACTTTTCCACCCCCGTTGCAGGTGGTGTTCATTTTGTGAGTCCGGGATTATATTAATAATAATCTTTACCCCTGAATATACAGACACACACCATTTTCACATGTATGAATAAGTTTTCATATAAATTACGTGTGTCTTCATGGGAGGTAATCTCAATCCCCACCTGCTATCACTGGAAGATGCAAGCGCTGCATGCTCATATAATGGCACATCCCAGGAGAATAAGTATGCAAAAATTTACAAGTTGGACAGGTGAAAGTATTGTTTCCGCGTTAACAAAAGCCAGGTTTATATCTCGGCACCACATGTATTACCTGGAGAAAAATAAAGCTTAAAGCTAATACTTCCATTGTAACGGTTTGTACTTTTTGCTTTAGATAATGATGGAGGCTTTATGAGGGAGTGTATGCACAAACTGTTTGCTTATTTTACCTCACTGATGATTCCAGAACTGTATGGTCCATGCGTGTTAAAATCATTCCACATCGGAGATTCACAATCTTGATGGACATTACGACTGAGGGCCAAATATCTTCACTTTTCCAACTCCGGCGTCCGGAAAAAATAGACTTGTTTGAAAGCGCCAAGTGGACTTCCACGACATCTTGTCCGCTGCCTACACTGGTCGCGGCAACCTCGTGGTCGGTAAGTGTTGCCCTTTCCCGGTCACTTTTATGGTGATTTAGATAATTATGAAGTCAGTCAGTAAACATTTTCTGTTTCTGCTTGTTGTAGTTGGGTATTGTAAACGCAATAAAGTTGGTTACCTTCCATGAGGGGCAGTTTCGGCCAAGGTCTGTTCCCCAAATAATTGATTCTCGATGGCGACCAAACCAACGTTCAGGACTCAACTGCTTTTCTACAATGGAAAAAAGTTCCTTCGAGCACCTTTTGTTTTTTGTTGGTCATTTATGCGGATGCTGCTCAATGTAAATGGACAATACTCTAATAGTGGACGGGCTCAAGTTTCACAGAGCAACAACTTGACTTCTTTGAGGTGACAATTACGAACTATACAATTTGCTAGGATCATAGATTTGTCAGTCTGTGACGCCGCTTGTTCAGAAAATATGGGGTAGTTTGAATATCTTAGTCCGAGGTAGCATACACTTTTAAGAACAGGTGGTTTCGTAGACTGAAGATATAGTTGGATGTCCACCGATGGAACGCCAAAACATATGCAGTCAAATTTACTTCTTTGAACTGCAGTTTCCAAGCAGCAGACCATGCGGATATTATACTGAGCTCCCTTTTTATTAGTGCTTGGAAGTGGGATAAATCATCACGGGTGAATGTGTATGCAGCGTTTAGGTCATCAGCAGACAGGAATGATTTACCATGTGTAAAGCAGCTGCAGATGTCATTTACGTGCAGAGTAAAGAGAAGGGACCTAATACACTGCCTTGAACTGTACCAGAGATGACTGGCCTATGTTTGGAAGTGTGTGAATCTACCTTCACCACTTGAGTGCGATTACTGAGGAAAGACCTAATCCATCCCAATAGTGGATAGTCAATTCCTGTAGACACCAACTTAATTAATAACAGCAAGCGATCAACCGCATCAACCGCCTCGGAAATCTATAGCTGGACTGCAAGGACTAATTGATGTCGGTTCCGCAAGGTGGCCAAAAAGTTAAAGAAGTCAAGATGGCAAGTTATGCAGGACCTCGATTTTAGGAGCCCATGTTGACTCGATGTAATTATGTTGCTACTAAGCATGTGCTGATGAACGCTTTCCGTAATAACTTTCTCCATAATTCTAGAAACTACAGGCGTAGTATTTATTGGTCTATGGTTATTGGCTGGTGTTCTTGAACCAGATTCATATCTAGGTAGGACAAATAATGTTTTCCAGATATCACGGTATGTGAGAGATTCCAAAAACAAGCGGGACACTTTAGGTGACAATAGTGGAATATCAGGGCCACTAAACCTAAAGAAATGTGATGATACTCCGTCCATACCAGCCCTACTGAAGCGTTTCAGCGTCCTGATGGCTTGGTAAGTATTAGGATATGTAAATTCAACTGTATCCATTGTTGTTAGTGGAGGAGAAGGATAGCTTTCGATAGTCGGGACCGCGTCAGTTGCACACGAAAAGTTTGTGGATCCCAGATAACTAACCGAGAATAAGCCACTGAATATTTCACATATATCCACTGGATTATTGTAGGCTGTGGTATCATGGACAGGAAGAGGAATGTTGTGTCCTGTGCAATTCGATCGCTTCTTAAGGAGCACACGCTTTGGATGAGCTAGCTAGCGCACCACTGTTCCCGTTCTTAAGGCGCAAATCATGATTATCCAAGACAGAGTTAAGAATAGCAAGAATCAGCTGAAGTGGATGGAAGTCGTGATGTCTGTAGTATCTTGTTGAGAGCGTGCGTAATTTTTGACGAGCATTGGGAGGTCTATATGGCCTATTGATTTGCGGCATTTTTTGAAACCTTTCAACGGAACATTGGCATCAGGACAAGTTGTAGAGTTGCAGTAAAGCATGTCAATGGCTAATCTGAGGTCTGCAGTGGTGAAGTATGACCCCCAGTCGATGCACCTAATCACTGGACATATCTGCTGCCAATCCATCCATCGTGGTCCCCATATACTATTTGGTGTGGAGTGAAAGTATCAATTGAAGTACTAGTTGCAGGAAGTGGTGGCGCGCACAAT